ATTTCATTCGACTCCGCACGTAACTCTGCGTGTGGAGTCCTGACGTAATATTTTTCCAAATTTAAAGCATATTTTAAATATTAAACTTTAACGTAATTATCACTAAAATTTAATATAATTTTGGCAGGACCTGCTATTAAATATACAACTTTAATTGACTAGTTCTTTGGGATCTTAAATTGGGTTCCGAATATGTCCCCACAATCTAGAAGAGCCCCGACGTTACTTGGGCATCTCCCCAATTTTACAGCATGAACCCATCTTTATCAAAATATTATATATATGGACCCAATATATTTCATAATTTTAGCCCGTTGATGTACCTATAAAAAAGAAAATAATCAATAGTAAACATGATAATAAAATGTAAACCCAAAAATAACTAAATTACTAATTGTTCACCTTCTATTTGATATTTTAAACATGGGTTTCAAGTAGATGAGGGGAAGGGGAAAAAAGTTTTGTGGCTTTAATTTAATTTTATTCATGTTAATTTAATTGTTTAGTTACTAATAGCTAAGTAATATTTTATCAAATTAATCTTAAATAAATAAATTTATATGATTTTTTATGTGATGATATGCTAATTGCATTTGTCAATCAGATTGCGGTTGATAGGATGAAAAATCAACTGTTCAAAAATTTTAAAATGAAGGAGTTTGGTGAAGCTTGCTGAATTAATGACATGGAGATTCTCAGGGACATGACAACTTGAAGGGTTTGGATCTTGCAATGAGCTTATGTTTGGAAGGTTCTGAGAAAACTTGGGGTTGATAACTCAAGCAAGATAATGAGTCTAACCATTACATTTCACTTTCAATTGAGTTTAGACCGGTGTTCTAAAGACGATCAGGAGATGATAGATATGAGATCGATTAGTGTAGTGGACAATATGATGTATGTCATGATTTGTACTAGATCAGACATTACACAATCAATTAGCGTTGTAAGTTGATTTATGCATGATATATGAAGGAGTCATTGACAGACAATGAAGAATATTTCGAGGTATCTAAAGAGTACCATTGATGTTGGCTTACTGTTTAAGTGACAATCATCTAGTTCAGATTACTTATTTACGACTGACTATTTATTTACATTAACATGATGTCTAGTCAGTTGAATGTTAATTATTTAATTTGCTATTGCTTTATCTACTGCAGAGGCTGAGTGCATGCCAGTTATGGAGGTTATGAAAAAAACGATATGGATGCATGGCCTATTGGATGACCTTGAAGTTGATAGGGAGTCTCTGACGGTGTTTTGTGATAATCAGAGTACAATTTTATTGGTCACAAATCTAGTTCAACATGCTTGTACCAAACACATAGAAGTAAGGTACCACTTTGTTTGGGACTTGATTAAAGAATGCAATATTCTATTAAAGGAGAAAAATACAAAGGAGAATCTAACATACATGCTCACGAATGCACTACTAGTCTAGGAGTTCACCAACTACAATAATTTTGTGAGCATCCCAACTCAATACTGATTGCCTAGAAGGGTATTTTCAAGAACTGCGTGAGGCTCAATCTCTTCGGGAGGGGAAGTAAATAGATAACCATCTTAGAGTAACTGATTTGGATTTTGGAGCTCATTTGTTAATCTCTCACTTATCTAGAAGTAAAAGATGTGATGAATATTGTTGTATTTATGACTTTTATTACAATTAAGAATAATTTTATCTTTTGACATTATATAATATGCTCTAGTCGTCGCCTATAATAGGGACTTCGGACCCGTTTAGGGCAGATTAAAGTTGCGTTCGTCATTTTTGGAATGCCGTGGTCGCGTTTGGAAAAGGCGTTCGTAACTGCGGTGCCAATAATTGCGTAAAGCTTTAGCCTATAATTCGATGGATCATTCGCCGCTCCACACCCCCTGCGTTTCAGCGTTTCAGAATAACTTATTACCCCGCTGCCCCTTCGATCCCGTCTTGCGCCCCCTTCGATCCCGTCTTACCCTAGATCTGCGTCTCCCCTCTGTCGTCTCGCCCTCTCACCGCTCCTTGCCCCTTGCCTTGTATATGTTGTTCGACCCCGTGAACCCATTGAAATACTTTGCAATATTTTAGGTATCGTTTATTTTTAGAATATCGTTGCCTTGGTTTGTTGCCTGGGATTGTATGTATGGATTTTTTTAGGGCTTCGAAATTGTCTCTTATCTCCTTATCTATGCTTCTCGTGAATGGTTTTCAACCTAAAAATTTGTCTGTGCCTTGGAATGTTGCTTGCAATTCGGGATCCTCAACTCACGTTGTTAGTATTTGGGTTAGAATCATTTTTTAAAATTGGGAAATCTGTCATTCGAAAATGATCTTTACATGTTCTGAAAGTTGTCTTTGTTGGGTGCATTGTTGGTATGCACAACCAAATTTGGTGGCTGAAATTTTTTGTGACTGAAATTTGGTATACCGTATGTAACCTTGAGCTGTTCTGAATTCTGAGTCTGGCAAGGTGGCTGAATTTTGGTATACCATATACCATATTGCTAGTTGTTCATTTTCATTTTTAAAATATCACTATTGATGGAATTGTTGCCTGGTTCTATTGCCTGGGATTGTTGCCTGGTTCTATTGAGTAACATTATTGCCTGACATGGTGTTCTATTGCTCGTTGTTAAATTTTTATTTGACCATTATGCTATGTCATTATGCCTATCAATATGACTGTCAATTAATTCATCATGCTATGTCATAATGATTGCAAATAGTTTCATTATGCATGTCAATTAATATTATCGAGATGATATGCCTTTAATTGACCCTTGACTAAGCAAAGCAAGGAGGTTTTTTATGGGTTTTGTTGCTATCTGGAAGGGATGTGCTACAGTGCATATATGGATGGTTAGCTATTGTACCTAGAAGCATAGATGCTTATATTTGTTTCGGTTTAGGGTGTTTCTGCACTATGTAATGTTGTATCCTCAACAAGTTGATAATAAAAACATTCGTGCCTTTCCTTTCGTGGACGTAGGTCTTTGACCGAACCACGTAAATCTTTTGTGTACTTGTTTTTTTATTTTGTTTTTTTTAATTTCAACACTGTGGAGATTCTTTGAGCATTAAACTTTTGCATTAAACTTTTGTTCCTTTTGTTCCTTGTAGTTTCAACATGTCTAAAGAAGGGGGTCCTTCCCCAATGTGGGATAAACAAGTAACCAACATTTTTTTGCGATTTATGTATTAAAGAAATAGAGTTAAGAAGTAGACCAACAATGTACTTCAACAAGGAAGGTTGGCTGAAGATATCAAAGATGTTTAAAGAAGTGACTGGAAGGGATTATGATCGACTTAAGTTTAAAAATAAATTATAGTTGTACTTGTCTTTGTCTTTTTTTTATTTTTTCAGGTGCTAACGAGAATGTGAGAACTGTATGTCATGAAATGTAATTCATCTGGGGTGATTTTATGTTTCTGCATTATATGTTTATTTAGTACCAATAAGCTATTCTGAATAAGCTGCCCCAAACAGTTTTACCAAACATGGGCAAGAATGTCATGTATACAGCCATAACTACCAATAAGTTATTCTGGATAAGCTGCCCCAAACAACAAGCCAGATTATTCTGATAATCTGCAGATTATCAAATTATCTGAATAATCTGTTTATCAGCAGATTATTTTATCAGCAGATTATAAATAAAATCAGCAGCTGCCCCAAACAGACCCTTAAGGGCTTATGAGAGACTTATGGGTGTGTGTTGAGAAGTTTTGAGTTGTAACCTTAAGCCGTTTTTCATTTTCTCATATGGTGCTAGTGGAATTTCCCTCTCCATAGAGATAAGCGAATCGACTTAACGACGAACCACGTACATCTTTTGTGTTTTATTGTTGTCGTGTGGATTTCTACGCTTCCACATTATTTTCGCATAACATTACATTTATATCACATAAGAAAATAATATCGACATTTTAAACTTCTAAAAATTAAGATATACCTTTTCGTGCATAATTTTGATGATATACACGTGAGCTTTAAAATTTAGATGTTAAATATATAAATATATAAGAATTGAGCGGTACATACACATATATATCAAACTTATTTTGATTTATTTTAATTTCAATCAAACACTAAAAAAAACATTAAGCTTTTACGATTGCAACCCTAAAGCATTTTTAATCGTATTTATTTATTTTTTAGTTATTTGAAAAATTATATATATCAAAATTTATTTCAAATGCGTGATAAAAAAATGGAAGTAATTTTAATGAAGTGAACGTCAATGTCTAAAAATTTTCTAATTTTGAAATTGTTGCAAATCGTCCTTCAACGCAACCAACGTGATTTTTTAAAGGAATTAGTGGAGCAATAAAACTCCTTCAAATGAACCAATACATTTAAATCTCACCCTACGATTTTGCGTCAAATTTCAATAACGCAAACGTGCATTAATCTCATTCGTGAATCTCTTTTCGTCTCGTGTTATTTCCCCGCAGCGGATTTGATCTGTACAGGTGAAAGACTTCCCTTTGGAGAGGCATTGCTTGTGGAGGTGGATCTCTCGGTGCTCCGCTCGTTAACTTAGCGAACGAGCTGAATGCGAACTTTTTAGCGAGCCGTTTTGAAAAATTTAATTGACTATGAAGCTATAATATATATCTTTGATGAATAATATTTTTAGAAAATTTAACTGATTATAAAACTACAAAGATTTATAATCAATTAAAAATATTAATTAAGAAAATAGAATAAAAATTATTAAATTAAATTCAAATGATGTTTTAAATCTGACCATAATCTTTAACATTTTTTGGCTACGTGATTAGGGTTGTCAAAACGACTCTTTGTTCGTGAACGGCTCGCTAAGCAAATGAGCCGAACAAGAGCTGGGCATGAGCTAGCTCGTGTTAGGCTCGTTTACACCCCTATCTATCACTCATCTGAAAAATTATTTCATATGGACGTCGTATGTAGAGATACAAGTGACGTCTAATCCTCACAATTGATGAGAGTTTTCATCAATTAAAAAAAAAAAAATTGGGCCACCGAAAGGTGATCAACGGTGGAGATGATCTCTGTATACGCCGTCTGTACGAGGAAGATGGTTGTGGAGTGGATCTCTCACTCCTCTCGAGAATATTCTTCCAGTAATGCCGCATTCCCTCTTCTCCTCCTCGTCTGGAGAAGATGATGACAATGGCTGCTTCCTTCGATCTCCCCATCATCTTCCTCATCCTCTTCTCCTCCCTCTTACACTCGGCTGGCCGGATTCCCACCACTCTAGACGGCCCGTTCTCGCCGGAAACCCGCCGGTTCGATCCCTCCCTCCGACGCGGAAGCGACGATGTGCCAATGGAAGATCCTAGGCTTGCCAAGAAGGTAGGGTCCAATTTCCCCGAGCAAATAGCTCTTGCGGCTTCCTTTTCACCGGATTCGATGTGGATTTCCTGGGTCACTGGTGCGATTCTTATTCTAGTTAGATCGGGTCTCTGTACTGATGTCTGTATGTCTGGGGTTCTTTATTGTGGAGGTGTTATGGGTGCAGGTGATGCGATGATAGGGAAGAACGTGAGGCCGCTGGACCCGTCGTCGGTGGGAAGTGAGGTTTGGTATGGGGAGGAGAGCGGGAAGTATACTTTCGTGCGGAATGGAACGGCCATGGTTTACAGTCAGTTGTATCCGTTTGAAGGGCTTTTGAACTATACGTCGGGAATTATTCATCACGTCAGGCTTGATGGTTAGATGCTTGAAATTTATATATTATTCTTTATTGTTGTAACAGCTTTCATTTGTTTATGGAAACTAAATCAGGGTATAGAGTTTTCGATATTGAAATTATGGAATAGTTAAAGGAATCAGTCTTTTTTTTAGCTGTTGTATAGGATGATTTCACATCCAGCCTTCCAAGATGCACGCCCAGATCCCCAATCTATTTTGGCGGACCTGGTTTAGATAGATGCAGGGGCTGCTAGTAGATGTTCCAGCTCCCTGGCATGCTGTGAAACTGAATCCAAGTTTTAGGATGGTCAAGAATAGGGTTTGACGGTTTTGGTGCCTCTACCATTGCTAATTGGATCATGATGACCGATGAGTTGTTAAAATTATTTAAACAAAAAGGTTATGATTGAAGAGTAAGCCTTTCTCTCAAGGCACTAATGGAAGGGAGAAAGTCTCAAAATGCTGATGGAGTATGACATGCACGCAGGGTGTAAATGAGTCAGAGTTGGGCTCAAGTTGTGGTTAATTTGAGCATGATTGGCTCAAACTCAACTTATGCTCAAATTTTGGGCTTGAGGTCTGACTACTTTCAAGGATCACGAGCTCAAATTTGTTTTGTGTGCACGAGCTTGGTGCTACATCCCGGGTCTAGAAGATGGTACACACATGAAGAAATGATTTAAACCTGATCTGTATTCACACAAAAGAATATTATATACAAACAATAGCTAAAATAAGCATGTAAATATAACTTTTTTTTCATTAATTATGACTGAAACAACTGAATAAAAAATGAGAAATAACTGAAAAGAAATTGAAATAACAATGGATAACTATCCAAACCCAAAAGAGAAATACAATAACGAATACATAAACTGAAAATACCAAAAGTAAATTTTAAAGCAGAAATGTTTGGGGTGGAACTTGATATACATATGTAAATAGTGAGTTTAACAAATTAAATCCAAAAAATAGTTATTATTTGTTAAAACATTAACAAAGACACTAGGATATGTGATATGAATCATAGAGTGAGACAATATTTTATAACGTTTGATCATGAATATGAATGACTAGAACCTGAGTACTTTTTATGTAAATATTTATATGCCACAGTATCATGTGTACTTATACATACATGGCCTATCAGTATTTTAACACCACCTGATAAACTCTAACTATACAGGCGGTGTATATATATATATATATATATATATATATGCATGTATGTATAATCACTTATATATATACTCGATTTTCTACGACACATTGAAACGAGAAAATGTAGAAACTAATCTCTTGAAAATCAAATAATTTATCGAAGCTCTTGCCGATGTTAGCCATTAAGAAGGGCTTAATAATGAAAAAATATTATTTAAATTTTGCATATCACTAGTCATAATTAGGGATATTATTAGAAGCTTGTCCAACATTTATTATACATACAAATAATCACATAAACTGAATTCAAACAGAAAGACTATGCACGAATAACAAAAACTAGAAATTCAAGAATCAACCAGCTAACTGGAATTTATGCAGCAACAACTCAAAGCTAAATAATTTGTGACTCTTTATGAGCAACAAATACATCTAACAAATAATTAATAGAACTTGAAATATAAGGAATAAGTATAATGCCTTCAATAATAACTGGTACATTTAACCCCTAACAAATAAGTACATACCCCCTCGAGTAGTTCAAAACTCTCACTCAACTCTCACTTTATGTGGGATCCCCTATGTTGTGCCAAATAAATATCCTATAAACCAAAAATGCATTAGTTATGGTTATTAATGATTTATTATCAAGAAATTAATATAAATATATGGTTTTAATTAAAATTAGTCATAAATTAATATTTAAATCAATTATGCTAACATAATAAATAATTTAACATAATGAAATAATTATCTTAAGGAGAATTTACATTTGATTTTTATTGATTTAGAAAAAGCTTACGATAAGGTTCCAAGAGATATCCTTTGGAGAGTTCTCGAGAAGAAATGTGCTGATATGACTTATATTCAAGTCATGAAAGATATGTATACTAGAGCTGTTACTTGTGTTCAAACTGAAGGAGGATTGACAAAATATTTTCCTATTTCTGTTGGATTACATCAGGGATCGGCTTTAAGCCAATATATTTTTGTTTTATTTATGGATGGTTTTACTGGACATCTACAGGAGGATGTATCTTGGTGTATGCTTTTTGCTGATGATATTCTTCTCGTGGATAAAACGAGAGAAAAAGCCCAGGAAAAACTTGAATTATGGAGGTCTACATTGGAGTCTAAAGGCCTTCGTTTAAGTAGAACTAAAACTGAATACATGGAATGTAATTTTAGTAGTAATAGCTCTAGTGACAGAAGTGTGACTTTGGGTGATCAAATTATTAAAAGGTGTGAACGATTTAGATATCTTGGGTCCGTTGTCCAAAGCGATGGTGATATAGATGGGGATGTTAATAGTAGAATTCAAGTTGGTTGGTTGAAGTGGAGGAATGCTTCGGGCCTTTTGTGTGATAGAAAAGTACCGCTAAGACTGAAAGGAAAATTTTATAAGATGGTGGTGAGACCTGCAATGCTCTATGGCGCTGAATGTTGGCCTTTAAAAGAGAAGCATAATAATAAGTTAAGTGTTGCCGAGATGAGAATGATTAGGTGGATGAGTGGCTTTACACTTAGAGACAAAATGCGGAATGAATATATTCGTGATAGGGTTGGTGTAGCTCCTGTGACAGACAAAATTAGAGAAAGTCATCTTAGATGGTTTGGTCATATTAAACGTCGACCATTAGATGATCCGATTAGGAGAGTAGATGCTTTAAATTCGACTTGTGTTAAGAAAGACAGAGGTAGACCTAGGAAGAATTGGGCTTATTGTATTAAAAATGATCTTAATTTACCAGAACTAAATGAAAATATGACACTAAATAGGACAATGGAGAAAAAGGATTCAATCTTCAATACATTTATAATAAATGTATCGAAGAAAATAAAATAAAGAAAATCCTATCGTTGACTATTGGTCGAACGAGGAATAAGGAAATATGAACAAAGGCCTACTATTGTTAATTTGGAGGAGAGAACGATGACTCTCGAGTGAAAGAGAGAAAAAGTGGGGGTAAGGTCGTGACAAGTATCGCTGGTTAATGGCAAAATGGGAGAGAAGGCAGGGAAGCTCTGGAGATTGCAGAGGGGAGGTTCGTTGGTTACAAAGAGAGTTTTTTGATACCTTAGGTCTTGCTTGCTCCTTAAATCAAGAAGAATGTCGGTAAAGCTACATATTAGAAAAAAAAAACAGTATTATGGGAATCCAGATCGGGAAGGTAGTAGTGAGTAGGGAGAAAAGGAAACATTATGTGACTTTAAGCGATTAGAAAAGATGGCAAGGTAAGATCTTGAGATTCGCCCGAGTAGGGATTTGGTTTCCCAGGATTCTTCGGCTGTTGCTCTCGAGAGGAGAGAGAGAGATTGTTCTATTTTGTAATCGTCGAGACGATCGAAAAGTGTAATCCTCAAGCTAATAAAATCATCTGCAGCTCCGTGGACGTAAAAAATTTGCCAGACCACGTAAATCTGTGTGTTTCCGCTGTGTTTTTCGGTTTTGCAAATTTTCTCGATCCTACTTTTTGCTTTATTGCCGTCATTTTTCACAACACCTACATCGACAAATGAGCTTTATTTTCACCATTCACAAAGATTTATATCTAAAAACATCTAGTATAAAAAAAATAACAATCTTTGAAATGCTTAAGTTGACAAATAACAAAATAACAACATTTATAAATTAAGATTGCTTAAACAATACTTAAAATTTTAGATGTTGATTTTTCTTATTCAAACATAGCAAGTCACCAATAATAATCCGCAATATTAAACTATAATCTAAAGACTTAGATTTTTTTTTTCTTGACAAAATATTTTAATATTTTTAAGAAAAATAACACTGCCTAAAAAGGACTCTTTTCATATGTTGCTCATTCTTGCGGCATTCCATGAAGCTACTTACTGAAGACACCACAAGCTAATCTAACTAATAAGCTCAAAATTTAAACTACCAACTTTTAAAATTTTCAATACTTACACCATGAAATAAATTTAAAAAATCAAATAAATTGTATAAAAATACAAAGAGTAGCGTATAAAACAAGCCATTAAGCTATGATGTTATATCTTTCCTCTCTAACAAGCTTTGATCAAATATGTTACATGTTTTAGCAAGAAATTTGAAAAACAATTTAATAGAAGTCTATCGAACTATGAGATCATAAATTTAAATATCAATTGGACATAGAAGGATTATGAAATAAGCAAATATTAGTAGAAATGCTTATATTTTATGTTATGATAAAAATAGTTCAATTTCTTCTTCATTTTCTTCTTACAAAAAAGCAAGTAATAGAAGATTTTGATTATAAAATAATTTGTGAGACTGCTGACAGATTTAGATTCAGTAATATATATTTATTAAAATAAATGTAGTTGGATTCAGATTTATCTTTGTTGAAGCTATAAGGTTATTGGCATCATTTTTTGATGCAACGCATACGAGACCATAGCTTAGTTGCCCCTGCCTACTTAGTCATGATATCAGGCTATAAGTTGCATGCTATTGTATGATTATTCTAATGTTTTTGTGCAGTCTGTCGTGCTCAGATATGAATTTTGCGTGTTGCATCGCCTTCATTGTCATAAATGGTTATTCGTGCAACAAATGTGAAGTGCAAATTGTGAAGGTTTTACATGAGATTTGGGCAAGGGAATTTTTCATGTATTAATGTTTTATGTTTGATCTCAGCTGTAGGCAATATGACCCAAATGCACATGAAAGGCAATTATGTTATGTAAGAATGTAACACTACCATATACTCTGATACTATAAAATTTTTTTGATCATATGGAAATTTTATGGTCGCAAAAAGGATATGTCATTACATGAAAGCTTACATGGTAGAACTATCCAGACATGTTTTTAGATACAGGTTGTTTAATGTTGAAACTAAGATTTGGTGTCTGACAAAAAGTTAAATCCGTTATTGGCATTGAGAATTATTCCAGGGCCCATATAACCGAGAAAATTTCTTTTATGATTATATGAAACTTATTATTTATAGAGTTTGTATGGTTACATAAGCATACCTATTGCTCAAGTATTCTTACTAGGATTCTCCATCTAACAATTTAATCTAATTTTAGAAACCTTTGGTAATAATCACATTCCAAGCTTTTCTAGAAGCTTTTATGATTCTTCAATGTTTATTTATAGGCCTTAAACCCGAGACAAGGTACTATTATAAATGCGGGGATAGCTCTTTAAAGGCTATGAGTAATGAACATTCATTTAGAACTTTTCCATTACCTGATGTGGAAAAATTTCCACACAAAATAGTACTGGTTGGAGATCTGGGCCTTACAAGCAACTCAACCACAACCATTGCTCATCTAGTCAAGAATGATCCGTCCCTGATCTTAATGGTTGGCGACTTGACTTACGCAAATCAGTATCTGACCACGGGTGACAAAGGAGTTTCCTGCTATTCTTGTTCATTTCCAGATGCACCAATTAGAGAGACATATCAGCCACGCTGGGATGGATGGGGAAGGTACTATGAAAGATTAATAGCTAAATAAACTTTGGAAAATTTACATACATACCACATAATTCCTATGTATTTACATATATCTAACTCTCCTCTTCTATTTTTGTATGCATGCCACTTTACCTACGCATGAAAAGTTGTTTATCACTTTTAAAAGTTGAAATGATGGTGTTTTTAATGTGATATGAAAATTTTGGGTGGTGTAAATGTAAAAATTAAAGTTTAGGTGTTAGATAATGTAAATACATTGGAATTAGGTGGTATGTATGGAATTAGGTGGTATGTATGTATGTATGTAATTGACCCATAATTTTTTATTGAGTTGTGGCACTTGCTTCGTCTTGCTACATTTTCGTTGCAGTTTTCTGAAATTTAGTCGTTTTCTTTTATTGACTGGTCAATTTGTTATTATACATATTTTTGGTGAACTGATTTGAAGAACTCTAGTTTGCTCATTTGAGATGATGGGTTTGCTGCATGCATTCTACTAAAATTTAAGTTAATTATCGATGTTTAATATGCATTTTAAGTATTACCGATGTAATATTTAAACTTTTTAACTCGGTAATACTGCTACCGTAGTTAACTTCCAGAAGTTGCCCAGACTGTTCTTTTTCCCTGAAAATTCTCGTTGAAACTTCATTTTGACTTAATAGGAACACCATTGATCTAGCTCAGTCATCAATGGATGGTCTCAGCCAGCCCTGAATTTGAAAAATTGGTGAATCCTGGGTGGCGATAGGTGGCAGAGATGATGGGGGGAGGAAGACAATGAGGGAGAGGCGAAGGAAAAGGGAAGCAAAGTTGGAGAAAGGGAGCATGGAAGTAGGTATGGGTTGATGGATGCATGCCACATTTTTTGTTTTATTAACCCAACTATGTCCTGCACTGAATTTTTATAACTTCAAAGTGGTGGTTTTCTCTCTTTGAATGATATAAAATGGCATGGACTAGCATGTGGTAAACTGTACAATACAAAATTGATCTATTGGCTACTCTTTCCTTTGTAGGGTTAGCATCTTCACCTATATAACAGCTAAAACTTGGTTACATTTTTTTTCTTATAAAGTATATTTTATTTATAAGAATTTAAAATTTGCTTTCATGTATATGTTTGCATGATAGATCTAGCCTTCGTATGAATAACAATAAAATCCTAAATCTAATTGTTCTATTCATTTACGGGCTAGTAAATGTCTTGGATGCAATTATCATCATAATTGCCAATGTGTTTTGTGCAAAATTTTAGTTTATTCTTCATAAATTACTTTTGAACAACTATTATCCATATATTCTTAGGCCTATATTGTTTTCCCTCTTAAACATTTTATTGGCAACATTATCAATTAGTCTACATCAATTATGATTTCATAGATGAAGCTTCTGATTTTTTTAGATTTGAAGGGTTACATCTTAAATGCTAATAACAATTTTACGTTCCTCTACCAAATTATAGGTTCATGGAACCCCTTACATCAACGTTGCCTATGATGGTGATTGAGGGGAATCATGAAATTGAAACCCAAATTGGTGGAATGAATTTCAGTTCCTATCAGACACGATTTGTTGTCCCTGCACGAGAAAGTAACTCCAACAGCAGCTTCTACTACTCATTCAATGCTGGTGGGATCCATTTCATCATGTTAGGTGCTTACATCGACTACAACCAGACTGGTTAAGTGTCTACTTGCTAATTCTTTCGACCTTTTGATATCACAATTCAGAGTATGTTAAATTTGGGCCATTTACATAAATACCATTCAATTCCTACATATTTACTTTTTTAACACCTAATTGTTGCTTCTTACATTATACCACTCACATCCTTCAAATCACATAAAAAATACCAATATTTTAACTTTTAAAAAGTGAAATACACCTTTTCATGCATGGTTAAGTTGACATATGTGTTATGCTTGAAGTTTAGGTGTTAGATGTGTAAATTCATTGGAATTGAGTGGTATGTATGTAAATCCTCCTTTAGATTTTAGATACAAGCTGGATCCATATCACTTTCAGATTCAACTGTTCTAAGTAATATAGCTTCCTGTAGGTGCTCAATATGCTTGGCTGCAGGAAGATTTGCTCAAAGTTGATCGACGAGAAACTCCATGGGTCGTGGCTGCTTGGCATCCTCCTTGGTATAACAGCTATTCATCTCATTACCAAGAGTTCGAATGCATGAGGCAACAAATGGAAGGGCTTCTGTATTACTATCGTGTTGATATTGTCTTCTCTGGTCATGTAAGTAAACAGTCAGTCAACCTTATTTTATACCATTTTTTCAGTACCATGAAATTCATAATCTGTTCTTGACAATAAGTTGTTCGGAATATGTATATTACCCAGCAATGAAAAGTTTGGAAGGTTTACATATACACCCCTCAATTCTTATGTATTTACATATCTAATTACTTATACTTCAATCTTCACATACATGGCACCTTGCATATTCTGATATGCATGAAAATGTGTATTTTAGTTATTATTTTTAAAGTTAAAATAGTAGCATTTTTTATATGATGTGAAAGATTTAGGAGGTACAATTTAAAAAGTAAAGTTTAAATGTTAGACATGTAAATATGTGGGAATTAGGCTGTATGTATGTAAATGCCCCTAAAAATCAACAGAGCAGATTGCCTCTCACCATGTCCAAGTTCATGCTTATGAACCTATGACAATAAGCAGTTCAGATTATATATGTTACCTGGCATTGAAAGGGGACATTTATATACACGCCACAAAATTCTTGTTTATTTATATATCTAACACCTAAACATTCATATTTATAAGCGTACAACTCAAATCTTTAACATCACATAAAAAAATATCATCATTGATAACTTTTAAGTGAAATACACCTTTTCAGTTTCCATGCTTAGGCTTATTACACCAAGGTGTTATAAGTGTAAATATCAAACTTCTGTGTTAGATATGTAAATAAATTAGAATTTTGTGGCTCGTATGAAAATTTCTCTAAAAGCTTTTAATCAAAAGACCAAATTGTTTCTCTCCGTTGTCCAGGTCCATGCTTATGAACGTATGAACAGAGTATACAACTATACATTGGATTCATGTGGACCAGTTTATATAAATGTAGGAGATGGAGGAAATATTGAGGAAATTGACGTTGATCATGCAGATGATTCTGAAAAAAAATGCCCTTCGCCGGGTGATAACATTCCTGAATTTGGAGGTGTCTGCCATATCAACTTTTCGTCTGGCCCAGCAAAGGGCAAATTCTGCTGGGATCGGCAGCCAGAATGGAGCGCATTTAGAGAAAGCAGCTTTGGTCATGGAATTCTTCAGGTTTCTTTCTTAAACTTATCGGGGTTCTTTTGTTAAATGGTCAATTTTCAAAGTGAATTTTGTGATCTTGATGAGCAGCTAGATACTCATTAATAAAAATTTCTTTTAGTTAAACAAGATTGTACCAAATTTCAAAGGGGAATTTACATACTTACCACACTATTCTTCTGTATTTACATATCCAACAACCAAAGTTTGGTGTCATGAACCTATACATTAAAAGTTGTATTTCACTTTAAAAAGTACGTGATTGTTGTTTTTTTATGTGATGTTAAGGATTAGAGTGGAATGCATGTAAATATGAATGTTTAGGTGTTAGATATGTAAATACATGAGAATTGAGTGGTATGTATGTAAATGCCCCAATTTAGAAACTTGACACAACAAAGAGCAAGTTAGATTGTACACACATGGCCTATTTACTTTTGTTCGTGTATGATTATTTCTCATCCAACAAGTAGCTCAATAGATGTCCTTATATCGATTATCTTGTATCTTATTTACACTTCAAAATTTGTGTATATCATTTGAGGTATAAATTAATAAATATGATCCCAATATTCAACAAATATCTAATATAGAATTATTTTTTGGGAAACTTACATACAGAGCACCAAATTCTTATGGATTTACCTATCTCACACCTAAACTTTCATTTTTACACATAGCACTTTACCTATGGATAAAATGATGGATTTGACTATTAAAAGGTGATAATGAGTGCTACTTTTCATATGATGTTTGTAATTATGAAAGTTTAGGTGTGAGACAGATAAATATGAAAGTTTTGTGTGCTATGTATATAAAAACCCCTTATTTTTTTTATAAATATTTAAACTTCCCAGTACAACATATCCATATATAGTAATAAGCATACATGTTTAAATTTTTGCCATCAACTATATAATTAGTTTGGCTCAATTTAAGTCTTGCTATAATTCGATAAGAAAATTAATAAATATTTTTGAAAAAAAAAAATTGGCATATTCAAACTTATCATAAATTCTATTAGACAATAAATGAATGAAATTAAACAGTAGTTGTCTAAAATCAGTTCATCTATAACCCTACAAATGCCAAAGAGTATATTTCTATTCATGTTTTTATTTCTAAATGTTTATTTGTTTTAATAATATCATGCAGGTGATTAACTCCACATACGCTTTGTGGACATGGCATCGAAATCAGGATGCTTATAAAGAAAACAGTAAAGGAGATCAAATTTACGTTGTAAGGCAGCCTGAGTTGTGCTTACCAAACCTCGTGAAGATTTCTTCAAAAAATGAGTAAGACAGCAAAGTTTCTTCATATTTAAATCCTGCAAAATCCTAATGTGTGAAAAGCTAAAGTTCAGGCATGTTAAATATTTCCATTATGAAATTTTTTGCATACTGTATGTCACATAAATGATTAAATTTACAAAATTTAGTTTAAGATATAAATCTTCCAGATTACCCATATATATTTTTTTGGGCATTTACATAGCACACAATTCTTATGTATTTACATATCTCACACCTAAGCTTTAGCCAACAAAATATTTTGTGCCAATTAGATGTAACTTTATGATTCACAACTCAAATGACAGTAAGTCATTGAATAACATACGACCTGCGGCCTTAACCGTAATATCATTGTATCGTTTGGCGGCAACCATTTGGTCAGAGTGTTCTGATCGTACTGCTATTTTGTTGAGCCTTTGGGTCAAACCATACGGACAGAGAACTTAGAAAACGCCTTTACTGGCATGAAATTACTTCAAATGTGAATATAATGATACACTTAATCTGATATTAGCTATTTTTTGAGCTAAATTTAATAAAAAATTTCACCATCGACAAACAATTGCGAAAGGTTAATGTGATTTGCTTTAAATTTTTAGTGAGTGATTTTAACTTGATTTTTTATTTTTCTTCTCTCAAGGACTTAGGTGGATTGATTTTAATTTCAGTGTTTTGGTTTATTATTTTAAGAATTAGATTTGAAATCATAAGGAAGTTTATTCCTTGATTTGAACCGTATTAATTTTAAATCTTACTTGTTGAGGATCATATTAACATTAATAGGTGATTAAACATAAACTTTGTCATCTTTGTCCTGCATACAGAGGATCAAGTTTACACACACACACACACACATATATATATATATATATATATATATATATATATCCTGCTAAATTTCGAGTTTGAAACTCCACCGAAGTCAAGGAGTCATGTATCTTAATGGAATCCTGTAATAACTCTTCTGATCTTTCTTCAATTATAACCAATTTATCCTGTGCTGATTGAGGATCCATCACTAAGTTACTGACAAGTCTCTGTATTGTTCCGGTAAGCATCATTTTGTAATTGGTGGAATATGGAATTGATTTCGAGACAAAACTCAAGAAATATTTTGTTCTCTATTTCATTCAATTCCTTGAGGCAATTCTTCATCGGTCCGACGACATCACAGAGTGGGAGACCGTGTCTCCCAGAATCCACTTGGAAGTAGTCACTGAGCATCCAAGTCAATCTTTTTTGTTTCTCGTTATTAGAGATCATCTCCAAACAACCAAAAAAATATGGTTGTAAACTTTATGATAGCAAGTATAAGGCATTGCAATTTTCCTCTTGTTCTTCTTCAAAAGCTTAATGGCCTTCGCATCATGAGTGTTTCTTATGGAGAAAGTGTTTTTCAATTCTTTATTGGATAAACCCTCGCCAATTTGCTTGTTCGTGCGAGGAGGGGGGTAAGGAGAAGATGAAAAGGGCCACGAAAAGCTAAGGCTCAGGGTGTAGGAAGACAAATAGAGGAGTAGGACAACAAATTGGTGTGGCGGCTTCATCATAATTAAATCAAAGTTGTGAACTAGAAACGAGGATGCTATTTATAGCTTTTTGTGACCCTTTTAGTTGGCGAGGATTTATCCGATAAAGAATTGAATAACGCTTTCTCCATAAGCAGCATGGATGATTCGAAAGCCATGATGCTTTTGAAGAAGACAAAGAAGAAGCTTGCAATGCCTGACACTTGCTGGCATGGTGCTTACAGCCAGTTTTTTTCTGGTTGTTCGGAGATAAAACTCTATTAACGAGAAACAAAAAAGATTGACTTGGATGATTAGTGAATGCTTCCAGGTGAATTTTGGGAGATGCAGCTTCCCACCCTACGATGCCACTGAGCCGATGAAGAATTGCCTAAAGAAATTGGATGAAACATACTACAAAGTATTTCTCGAGTTTTATCTCGAAACCAATTTCATCTGCCGCCAATTACAAAATGATCTTTTTGACACAATATAGAGAGACTTTTTAATACTTGATCATGACTGCTCAATCAGTGGGGGATAAATTGAATATAATTGAAGAAAGACTGGAAGAGTTATTACGAGATTCCATTAAGATACACGACTCATTAACTTTGGTGGAGTTTCAGACCCGAAATTTAGCAGATGCATTAAAATGCGTGGAGACTAGAATTCGCGACGTTTTGAAAAACTCTACAGCAATATTCAAACAATTGAATGACATTTCAGCTTCTTAATTGGAAGTGAGAGAACAACAAAAAAAAATGAAAGAGAGGATCGAGTCTGCTTCAGGATTTCTACAAGAATTTGGGAAATGATAGAACGAAACTGAAGAGTGATGCTTCAGCGATTAACAGGGAGATAAGAAAATTTGGCGATTCGATGACTTCTAGGATGCAAAATCTTCAAAGTACCGTGAATGATATCGGTGGTGTTGCAGGCTTATTGTTGGAGAAACAAAAGAAGCTACTTGAAAGATAGGCGGTGATCATTGCGAGATTAGATTGCTTTACTTTCCAATCCAGTGCTCTTAAAAAGAGCTGAGATAATTTCAAAAAATTAGTAGAGTTTGGACACAAGTAAGATAATGAGCTACTGAGATGGCAGGATTAGATCCAACATGCTCATGCTCAGCCAATCCAAAATTCACGGTTCATTCTTTCTGCATAGAAAGAGTTTGAAAACGAAACTCTTGATCTTAATCAAAAGTTTTCTTAAGGGTCTTTTGTTGCTTAAGATTTAATTAATTATCGGAGCTTTCCATTATAGAGAATTAGAAACTCATATAATATAAATCCTATCTAATCTTTATATTAGATATAAAAATTATTGGTCATACAAAAAGTTCACAGACCAAACAGATGTCATTCTCAGTTTAATAGTTGAGTTTATTAAAAAGTGGTACGCTTATTTTTCGAGATGGTATATCACTTGTGCTATTATATATATATATATATATATATATAATTTTGATTTTGAAAAATGAAACCAAATAGATCTCATATATCTAATAATTTTGATAGTTTATATAT